ATAGTAGGAAAAATATACCAGACAAGGAAGAATTCGAGCGAAACATTGAGGTTGGAGAAGTGCTTAAGTTCTGTTGAAAAAGAACAGGTGTATCAGTGGGATTATGGGGGAAATGGACATAGACTGAAAAGAGGCCAGGAGCAGGTGAAGTTGTGGAGGAATGTGAATGCCAGGCTGTAAAGATAAATTTCAGTCACAGAATTCAGTAAAGTCATCAGATCATCTTTGGCATTTTTTTTCCCGCAGTAAATGATATTTATAGATTTGCAATTGTGAATAGACAGTAGTAAAGAGACCAAAAGTCATACACCATACCAACTCATTAACTAATGTGTAAAAAAATCATATTTTTTATTTTAAAAATATTTTTGTGTTTGTAATTACATTCTAATCACTAGTTATTCAAGTTCATTCCCAGCACTATTTTATTCAACACCAATTTGACTTATTGATTCCACGATTTACATGAATCAAAATCATGTTTTTCTATTCATTTTTGTGTGTGTGTGTGTCTCTGCCCCTTAGTAATGAGTGAAGTAGGTGTAACCTATTCCGAACTACGGCTTCAAGATTCATCTCAGCCACAGAGAAGGCAAAGACTTGAAACGTCTAAAAAAAAGGTCAAGGTATCTAAGCTTTCTACGTCTTATCTTAAACTGTACTTAAAAATATATGAAAGTATGCGTTATCATGCTCACAGGCACACAGGTGCACACACGTAATTTAAATGTGTACCTTTTACTAAACATGGAGAATACGCATTTTTGCGGGAAGACTGACTTTTTCTCCCTATGCGGGTGCATAAGTTTAACTATGCTGTAAACATTAAATCAATGTTTTTAGAAAGAGTGAAATATTTGGGGATCGAAATATGTTGTTCACTATTTTCTGTCATTTTAAGATACCAATACTATACAATAGAATACTTGGGAAATAGGGGAGTGAGAAAATGTACAGATCATTTCATTATTCTAACACAGTCGCCATGACGTGGGGATGATTTTTCTTGATTTATATACTTGCTAGCACAATGTGTTCAAAATGTTATCTTTTTCAAGTGTCATGTTTCTGTCCTGACATACACACTCCAGTGACCTCACTTCTCTGGTATATTTGATTATGTGGAGTTTGACTCTCTTCCTGTTGTTTGAAATTTTCTTTTCTTTGTATTTTCACTGTTGCTAATTTGCATTCCTTGGATGTTTTAAATCAATACGTAGAATGACTAGAAGTGTGCTATGTATTAATTTATTCGTTCGATTTTGTCTTATATGAAATGGATATTCACGACTTTGGCTAAAATGTATTATTTTTTTTCTTTTTTAAATTGGAGGTCCTGGGGATTGAACCCAGGACCTCATGCATGCCAAGCATGCACTCTGCCACTGAGCTATACCCCCACCCCAGATGTATTTTTAACTAAGACCTCAATTGATAACTTCCCAGTTTTTCAGATTGTTAATTATTACAATGTTATTTATAATATACACATTTACTATGTGTGATTCATGAAGAAGTATCTTTAAATTTTGCTGAATATGTTTTAACAGGTTTTTAAAAAGCCGTTTTACACCTTATACACTCTGCCTTTTATGTGTTCAGAAATTGTTTTCCTTTTTTATTTCTGATGAACAATTCATCTTACCTGCATATATACATCTTACCAATGTAGTTTCCACTGGATTTGTATGGGAATATGTTATGAACGATATTATCATGTGTGTGTGTGTGCATGTGTGTGTAAGATAACACAGCTCACCACTGTTCTTGTTTTCCCGTATGTCAGTCCCTAGTGACTTACCCAGTCTTCTGGCTGTGAATATCCATGCTAATGCCTCAAAATGTATATCCATCTTGGATCTGTCCCTTGAATCCCACACTAACTAAACAGTATCCTCGTCCAAATTGTGTCTGAGATGTCAACTGGAATCTTAAACCTGAAGCCCACACTGATACTACGCCCTCAGACGCTCTCTGACACTCTCCATCATGATTACGTAAGTGTTTGGCACAGATCTGATGGTTGACGTGAAAGATGTGGAACTCAACGAGAGGAACACAGGTTGGCCACAAGTCCACTGTTTTTCACTGATTCCACCTTGACACGTAGATTTGGGTAACATTGAAGACTCAGAAGAATGCAAACTCAAGAAATTCAAGTTTAAGGAGTTTAAAAAGATTTATATGTACTGACAAACTTTGGAATAAAGGCCTGGAAGAATTGAAAGTTAAAATCATCTGTACGATTGTAGTGACAGTACACTTTTATCTGCTGCATCGGCTGTACTGACAAGTCCGTGGAGGGAGTTACTCATCTCTGATTCCATGTTTTTCATTCATGTTATATTCTTTCCATTTTGTGCTTCTTATAAGTTCCGCATCTCTGCTGAAACGCCCCATACATTTATCCCATGTCCATCCTCCCTACTACATGCTTTAACCTATCAGTCATTGTTACTTCAAATTCCCTGCCTGTAAATGTCAGCTGATCCATTTCCTGATCCCGTTTTCAATGTTTTATCTTTTTCAAATGCATCTTGCTCAGTGTAGAGTCTATTGCTCAGGGGGGCAGGTTTTCTGTCCCCTCCCCTGTGGCATCTGCCCGGTACTGGTGGGTTTTGTGTGTGAGGCAGCTTCCTCTCCTCTCTCCCCCAGGGTAGGTCCTTGGAAAATTTCGGGATCCTGGGCAGAAGCTGCTCTCCTCTAGAAGCAGGTGGCTTCTGCCTATTCTCAGTACGTGGTGTACCAGGCTAGATTTCTACATTTCCCCCCAGTAACAGCTGAACTCTCCCTAGAATGGGTGAGGCGGCAGGTGGTGGAGCATTTCATACTTCCTGCCCCAGTGGTAGCTTGTTTTTATTGGGGTCCTGAGGTCAGGACACCCGCAGCATCAGATAGGTTCTGTGTTTGTCCCTCAAGGACCGCATTTATCTCCTTGTACTTAGACAGGGTTCAGGGCAGGGATGGTCCCCTGCAGATTTAGCTTTGCACCTGCACAAACTTTGGCAGATCTTTACACCACAGAAAGGAGGTCTCTCAGGCTTCCAGGGGAGGCCAACAGAGAATAATTGGCAATCGAGTGTGAACTACCATTGGACTATGGCTACAGGAGATTCTAAAGTCTCGTGGTAGCCTGCTCTTAGCCCTGAAGATCTGCAGAAATTCTTCGCTGCTTTACGACCACTACTATTCCTCCAATGCTTTGCCAAAGGTGAGGTAGAGTTTGTGTTCTGTCTTTCCAACAAAGCGGGCCTTACCAGCTCTTCACAATTCAGTCTGCCTGATCACTTTTTAATGTTTTTTTTTTAATGGGGGTGGTAATTAGGTATATTTACTTGCTTATTTAAACAGAGGTTCTGGGAATTGAACCCAGGACCTTGTGCATGCTAAGCATGGACTCTGCCGCTAAGCTGTGCCCTCCCTGCACCTGATCACTCTTTGAATTCAGCTGCCTCGTTCCCTCAAAATGAGCTATGATTTTGTAGATTATCTTCCCTTTCTCTGTTTTTAGGATGCGAGCTGTATTGTTGCATAGTTTGCTACACCTAAAACAGAAGCAGAACTCTGAATAAGCATTTAGAAGCTGACGCCACGGGTTTTTCATCTCTTTCTATAGATCATCCTGCTCCATCTTCTTCATGGAAATTCGTTGCAGTGTTTCTGTGGATCATCTGCCTGGGGCTTCTTTTTTCTACTGGATACTTAGCCATTGAGAGTAAGTCACAATGTAAAAGAGAAGTCTGCTTTTCTATTACTCACTTAGTGAAATCTGTTGAAGAGAATACATTGTTTTGATCAATTCAATTCCTTTACAAAGTATAATATTCTCTGCAAAGAACTGAAGATAATCTCTTGGAGACATATCAAAATATGGTTCATTTTTAAGTATATCATGAATCTTACTTAATGCCTTACTATTTGTTCTCATTTCCTTTACCAGAAATGCCTTTAAAATTTATTTTCTATGAAAAACTTTCTTACCTTGTTATCAGAACAATCAATATCTCCTTCTACAATCAATTTCCATACAAATTTATTGTTCATGTATTGTAATTTGATTTTTATCATTATAACTCTATTACATTTGAGTTCTTTGAAGCAACTGATGTTTCATTAATCATTTCTGTATTTGCAAATTCAGTACAGTGTCTTACATGTAGGAATGTATTCAATTAATTTTTTCTTTTTGAGCTTAAAACTGACCTTTCTGATTTCTCTTCAGTGAATAAGAAGCCATTTCAACCAGAAGGATGTCCAGGAAATATCTCCTCCAACAAGGAAGCAAATAAATCAGGTAATTTTGGATGAGTCACTGAGTCATAATTTGATTTGCAAGAGAGAAGAGATAATTAACTATTTTCCTGGATACATATAACTGGATACATTTAAGTATATATGCATCAAATCTCCTTGTATGTCATAGAGTATTTCTCTTATAGTCCTATATGTATTACTTATATACTCAAAATGACAGTACTATTAAATGATGACCTAAGGTTAAATGAAGTATTTTGACAAAAGCATCATCTTTTTTTGGATATCTATTATGTTTCATTTAACAATTTCTTATTGTCTAATTTTTTAAATATACAACTTTAAAAAAATAAATATATACATATTTAGTTTTCATTGTGAAAACAAGAACATTGTATTGACAATTTTAATAGTTAGATATATTGGATATGGTTCCTGATACATTTCTAACTTTGCGATTTAAAAGAAACTGTTTCCCAGTATGCAACATATGAGTCTTGAAGACTAAAATTTTTCAATGAGGTGAGTTCTTGATTTAAGATAAATCTAACAGAGAAAAAAATGTGATAATGAATATATATATGTTCATGTATAACTGAAAAATTGTGCTCTACACTGGAATTTGACACAACATTGTAAAATGATTATAAATCAATAAAAAATGTTAAAAAATAAATACAATGTTGCAAGGAAAAGAAAAATTAAAAGATAAATCTAGCACTACATTTGAGGGCACATAGTCTATAATGTAAAAATCAAATGATGTTCTTGTTTGTGGACAGTAGATTTGCTTTGTGAACCTAAGGATGTGATTTGCACTGATGGAAGTCATTCAGTTATATTCTAATTTTTTGATAGTTTGCAAATATCCTACTTGTCCCAACAACTGGCACCAGTATGGAGAAAACTGCTACCATTTCTCAAGAGCTCTGCTTCTTTGGAAAGAATGTCACCGTCATTGCATCCTTTTAGAGTCAAGATTTGTTAAATTGAATATTGAAGAAGAGCTGGTAAAGACAAGTTTTTGTTTTGTAAATTTCAGTATCGGAAAATGTTAAGAACGACAGAAATCACTCAAGTTTTATATTCTCCTCAACTCCCTTCTCTACTGCAGCCACAGAAGTCTTTGCAATTTTCTAAATTTGATTGTGTACCTCGTAACACCTGGGTGGCTTTCCTCAGCACTTGGGGTCAAGTACAAATAACATGTAGACAAGGTCACTTGCAATCTGGTTTCTACCTATTTCTCTGGCCTCCTTTGCTGTTAGGGACTCTCCATCACACTGTTCTAGAGAAAGTGTGCCGTGGTCTCCAGC